TAACAAGTATTTATTGTCTTGCTTCTAGTCTCCAGCGGACTGTAGAAATGCCCCTTAATGTCAATCAACAAGTATCTGGACGCGGTTACACAAGCCCCTGCCCTAAAATTTCATCTAGAAGGGTTGAGGCCATGTCTTAGTGTAATTTCATTGCACGTTGGATCCTGCACACGATGTTAGGCGGTCATGTGTTCATTAAACGCCCGTGTGCCAGGCTCAATAAAAGCCCACGTGCGTTGGCAAAGACCTGCATCTATCCAGACTGGAACATGCCGTTACACGTGTTAATGCACACGCACGACCATCTGCAGGTGCCTCCACACACGCACAGTCGTGCCCAGGGGGCCCACGACCTCGGAGCCGAATCCCGTCCACACCTCGCCCAGGTTAGCCCTCTATTCTCCTCTAGCCCCGCACCTTGCCCACACTACTCGCAGCCGCACAGCCCACTTTCTGAACTCACTTTGAGCTGTCTCCACGCCATGCTCCTTCCGCCGCTAGACCCGCCTCTGGCTCATTTTCATTGGAGGAGATGGCGGTGAGCCCTCCAATCACCAACCCCTGCAGCTGCCACTTCGCCAATCGCGGGGCAGGAGGGTGGGGCGGGCCTCCCCCGCGGCGGAAAAGGCCTCGCTCCGCCCCGAGGGTGTGTCTGGACGCCGGCGCGCGCAATCACGGCGGCCACGCCCCTTCCGCTCGAGGCTCTGGGCTCGGTTGCTACGTTGTGCGGAGCTGCCGGGCGCTGGCGTTGGGAGGTGCGTGCCCCAACTCTCCGGTCCAGCGGCGTGGGGGAGAGACATCGCATATGTAGATCTTCAGTTCTAAGCAACACTCTCACCAATATCTTGATCATTTAAGCAGAACATTTGATATGCTTGTGCTTTCGGTAAACCATGTATTGAGAGTATATATCAGACACCCTAAAAAGGGTTGGAATGAATTACCGCACTGTGTAAGATACCCGAGTTGACCTCAGAGAAGATTCCATCGCATCAGGTTTTACTTAAAAATGCCTAAAACCTGTGTATGTACGTAAGTATGTGTGTTAATGAAGGTGTTGGGAAATCTAGACTTTGTAGCAAACTCCTGCACCCGAAAGGTTCCATTGAGGCGAAGACTTCGTGGACTCCTATTTAGAAACCTTCCAAATTAATTGGATACTCTTTTTTCCTGGCATTCAAGACATTTCGGCTTTCTAGTTTCAGTTCCCACTACTGTCTTCCCAAGTGCCCACCCCCCCAGAATTATTTCTCTTTATAAATACTTTCCACTTGTATGCATTTACTCACATTGACTCCTGCCAGGATGACTGTTTCCTCCATCTCAATATGGCCAAGTGCTGGAAATAATTTCTTCCTCATCTGAGCCTTCACAGATATATGCTGTACCTGTCCAGTGGCACTGTATTTATTAACTACAATTGTTAGGTCTTTTTTCCCTTAACTAGACTGTAAACGTTTTAAAAGGGAACATGCCATATTTATCTTTCATTTGATTACTGCAGTGTTTTTCAAACTGAGGGAGTGTATTCTTGGCATAGACACTTAAGAGAATATTTGATACTGGTGTCTTTCTGTAATGATTTTTAAAAGTAATAGAGGCATCATTTGGGCCATTTGGACAACCAACTGAACCCTGAAACCTACTAAGCTATTTCAGTGCCCACATTTATTTGTATTCATTATCATATTTTGGTACCAGGAAAGAAAAGTGGCTGAAATAAATGATGGATGTCCTGCAGATGAAGGATAAATGACATCCTGTATGAACAAAGGTTTTTCAGCAAGTTAAATAAAGAAAAGTGGTGAGAGAATGGATTTTCCCTACAGCATGAAGTAGCGTGCATGCCAAATCAAAACAAACTGTGTGCATGCCAAATCAAGACAAGCTAGTACCGTCAGATAGCTATTTAGTGCAGCACGTTTTCATTTCATTGATTTTCAGTTCTGTTTGTATTTAATTTGTATTCTTTCATCAGATATGTATTTTTTGGTTTTGATGATTGTGTAAGAGCTTTAGCATAGAGTTCATCCCTAGTTTTATGTTTGAATGTATTTAAAAAACTGAATACAATAATTTATGTACTGGGGGTCTGTAAGAATGGTTTCCTTTAAACACACACACACACACACACACAATACATTTCTCGATTTTTAGCAGCACTGACTTCGATATGCATCATCTACTCTGTAGCCTAGGCTTAGCAAATAAAGATCTATTCTAAAGCTGAACGCACAACCGGTTGTGTAGACGCAGGTGGTGTGCCCTGTAAATGGCCATTGCTTTATTGATCTTTGCTATTTGTTTTCAGCTTATAGGGACTCCACCTGGGTTCTTAAAAACAAAAACAGGAAAACACAAAGGCTTTTATCTCCTTGACAAATTATTCCCTATTCCTAAAAGAATGATACTAATAAATATGACAAACCCACCAAGAATATATTTAAAGGACCAGGCAGCTGCTGAGTCCCCACACTGTTCTTGCTCACAGCTCACAGAGAAAATGTTCTTCAGTGAAAGAATCTGGCTTTGGTTATCCATCAGAACAGGTATCATTCTAGGAAGTGAGCTAAATATCCCAGAGCGACATGGTAAAAATAACTGTTATCAGCTTAACAGGTTTCACTGCAGCTACAAGGAAGCAGAAAATTACTGTCGTGTCCAGGGAGGACACCTTGCTTATGCTTGGAAACTGGGGGTCCGGGATCTTCTCTGGGACTCTCTGGAAGAAGGGAGTAAGTGCTGGATTGGGCAAAATCTAAAGCAGCTGGGAAAACGTCAAGAAAAAAACAACCCAGGTAAGGCTCTGAGACAAGTGTTTACAAAGGAAAAGTCCTTTCCTTTTATTCTGGAACAGGAAAAAGAAAAAATTTTCAATCTTTCTGCTTTTGTACATAGAAAAATCAGTCGCTTTACTTCATTACCACAATTCCTCTGAAGTATTTATATTTTGGGGCTTCAACCTTTGATTTGTCTGCGTAGCAAAGATGATGAGATTTTCTCAGAGTTTATCAAAAGCTAACACCTGATATTTCACTGAAAGTAATGTGTAGGATTCTGAAGTGGGAAACCTTTTATGGCCACTTTGTTCCTGGTAAATATCTCTTCCTAATTCAGAAACCAGGAGAGAAATGATTTGCCTGTTACCTTTCTTACAGAGATATTTTCAGAATCATGCACCATAATACTGTGGTCTTGGAGAAATATCCAAGGCCCTGTTTTATCACCATCATCATCACTGAAGTCTAGGTAAATTAATATGAAGCCTTGTGATAACGCATAATATGAAAAAGTAAATAATCTGTAATGTGTGGGTGTGGTGTGGAGAACAAAGGCAAAAGAAATATAGAAAAAAAATTAAATCTCCTTACAATTTACAGCCCATTGACAAATTCTTGAGACAAGCAGGGTGACCTTCCTCCAGAAGCTTACCTGCCTCAGTGTTAATATTTTGCTAGAGCCAAAAGGCAACCTTAGCTTGACATTAGCCTAACTTCCAGGATCCTGCAAGTCTACTTTAACATATAAAAATCCGTTTGGAAACTTCCTTTATCTCTTCCCCTCCCCCAAGATACATGTTAGCAATCATCCTTCAAACATATGGCCCAGTGATATCCATCTGAAGGGTCTTGTGACTAAGGTTTACTAGACAGTAGAAAATGACCCCTTAAGGTCCGGGAAACCTTGCTTCCAAATTCCTTAGAGACTTTCTCTATCCCTCAGCCCTTCCCAACTGGAAAGAATGTAATCAGTCACTCCTCACAATCCTAGGCAGCATTTTCTGCCCACAGGTCCTGTCCCAATGTTTAATAAAACCACCTTTTTGCACCGAAGATATCTCAAGAATTCTTTCTTGACCATTCGCTCCTGGACCCCCAACAACATATCACATGCGGGAGATATCCTAAGTTGCATCTCTTAGAAGCTAGCAAAATTTGGTTTTCATATTTACCTTTAAAAAAGGTTGATTTTGGAATCTGAGGCTTATCTGGGTCTGTTCCTCTTTCGGTAGGTGTCGTGCCCCCCTGGCCCCCAGAGCCCCCCAATTGCACTCACATGTCCCAAAACTCCAGCTGGATCTCATCAAAAGTGGACTTGTGCTCCCCGGGGCATTCTTTCATTTGCCAGGCTGGTAAGTGATGAAGCCACATGCCACCAAAGTCATAATATCTAGAAACTAATTCCACATAAGGACGGCATGTGAGAGTATTGGTTAAGGAGTCTTGTGCCATGAAAGGGAGGTATATGCCAAGTGACATCCAAAGACTGAAGGAGGCAACAGACCAAAGAAAAAGGCTGACAAGTCCAGCTTGACAAGAAATGGTTTATTAAGGGGGAACCACCCAAGAGGAAAATGTTTAAGAATAGCTGTGTGCCCTAGTCCTGTCTCCAGGGCAGATCGAGGACATTATGCCCCAAGGTTTACTTAAGGGTGTGGTTGAACGAAAAGAAAAACTGGGGATGGGGGTGGGGGGAATGTGCTTAAGAAGGTTTATTGTCACAGAGTCTGTGAGTGATAGTGCAGAGGATGCATGTAGAGATTTTGATGATACTGATTATATATTGATCTTCATGATACTGATTAGAGTGAGAAACTGTTCATCTGGAATGACTTTCAGATACATCCCACTCTGGTAGTTATTGCTGTGCCTGGTGTCACCTTCATTTCTAGACTTGGGTGGAGTGTGGGAGAAAGTGTAGCAGTAAACTCCAGTTTCCTCATGTGCACCCCAAACCCATTAGGCGCGTGGGCTTATGAGGGAAGACTGCAAAAGCAAAGGGGGAGAATAAGATACTGGTGTAGGAAGATGAGAAGGTGAAGGGTAAGGAGGCTGCGTCCTAAGGAGTACATGATGAGAATTGTGTGCATACAGTGGGGTGCGTGATTTTTCTTTCAATGTACGTTTTTCATGGTGGTTGTATCCAGCATTTATTCTTAGTTCATTGAATTCTCGAGGACCTTACAGTGTCGCAGTCTGAGCAAAAATTTTGTTCCACTTAAAAAAGTCACAAATACAGTCTTATTAAAATATGAAGCATCTATGGGTTCTTCATAAAACAGAACACATTGCAATATTTCTCTGTTATAAGAAAAAAAAAAGATCACCTTCCTCAAATACTGGGTGTTGAAAGAACCCAGTATATCAAGGTAATAAATTTTCGATTCCCAGCTTCTCATTCTCCACCCTTTCAAGCTCTCTGTGATACGCTTGCCCGATTTCGCCATGATAGCACGCTGTTGTTGACGAGGCCAAGGTTGTGAGGCCAATCTGCGTAAATCAAGTGTTCCTGTGTTTTGTTATCACAAATGTGAGTGTGGCTCCTTACGATGGTGAACTGCTTTTCATCTTGACAGATTATTTGGCCCAACTCATCTCCAGGATAGGAAAAGTAACCCTTAATACAGCCTAAATGATGATGATTTTCCATTCATTTTTCACTCTCCAAGAGTTGAGTTTTTAGACATTTTCACCTACTCTTGGTTTTGGAGTGAAAATGCATTTT